TACATAGGTAGTTGCGCATGTTCAAATTCATATGTATATGTGAAATTAGAGAATCAATTGTATATCGATAAATCGTATCGAGATAATCAGCAGTGTGAAATATAACAAAACTATTATCGAATTATCGAAGTACGATCGATTACAGCTCGCATTCAACTTAACACCTCCTTCTTTTGCCATTTACAGCGTTCGCCACACGCTTGTTCTCCGTGCTCCGTTTTGAAAGCGTTATTCATGAATTCGATCCATATTTTAATTACCGCACCACGCGGTTCCTGGCCGAGCAAGGCTTTTACAAATTTCACAATTGGTTCGATGATCGCGCCTGGTATCCGCTGGGCCGCATCATCGGCGGCACCATTTACCCTGGATTGATGGTTACCTCGGCGGCCCTATATAGGCTTATGTGGATGCTAAACATAACAATTGACATACGTAATGTCTGCGTATTTTTGGCACCGTTCTTCTCTTCCCTCACGACCCTTGTCACCTATGCACTGACCAAGGAAATACACGTGAGTAACACTTCGACTGTATATTGAGGTTAGGACCAACCACGTGCACGAATCTAATCGAGACTATTTTTAAACATTTGCAGAGCACAGGTGCAGGTTTGGTTGCCGCAGCTCTTATATCGATCGTACCGGGCTACATATCGCGTTCCGTGGCTGGTTCCTATGATAACGAAGGCATTGCTATATTCTGCATGCTCTTCACCTATTATCTGTGGATCAAGGCCGTGAAAACAGGCACCATATTTTGGTCGGCAATGTCAGCGCTTGCATATTTCTACATGGTGTCATCGTGGGGTGGTTATGTATTCCTCATCAATCTGATCCCGCTCCACGTGATTGCCCTGATGTTTACTGGACGTTTTTCGCACCGCATTTACATCGCATATAGTACTCTATATTGCGTTGGCACTATTCTATCCATGCAGATTTCGTTTGTCGGCTTTCAGCCCATTCAGAGCTCTGAACACATGTTGGTAAGTTGTACACAATTTATATTAGATTTTGTTTGGTTCGCCAATATGATGAATATTTATGTAATTCTTGATAGGAAGAGTATGAAACATAATGAGTACTATATACTAATCTGATTTAGACAATATGTGTTACTGTTTTACCTATTCTTATCTATGTTTAAGTTCATCTTTTGCGTTTTGATCTCTTTCAGGCATTGGGTGTGTTCGGTCTGTGCCAGATACATGCTTTTGTGGACTATCTACGCTCGCGCATGCCTAAGGATCACTTTGAAATTCTTTTCAAAACACTGGTTTCGAGTGTGATAAGTCTGGCATTGATTATTGGAACCGTGTTGACAATAACGGGTAAGGTGTCGCCTTGGACGGGTCGCTTTTACTCGTTGCTGGATCCATCTTATGCCAAGAATCACATTCCAATTATTGCGTCCGTGTCGGAGCATCAGCCCACATCTTGGTCATCATTCTACTTCGATCTGCAGGTAAAGTATTCTGCTAATTGCAGCAAAGCATTTAATCCGATGATGACACCAAAAAATGATGTAATGACTAGCACCTTAAAGCACTCATTGATTACAAGCACTTTGATCGCTGATACAACGTCATTTCCGTCAATTCAATTCGCAAGCAATTTATTGATTTAAGCCTTCTTTTCATTTTAGATTCTTGTCTTTCTATTTCCCGCTGGCCTCTATTTCTGTTTCGCACGGTTAACAGATTCCAATATCTTTATAATTTTGTATGGCGTAACCAGCATTTACTTCGCTGGCGTCATGGTGCGTCTAATGCTTGTGTTGGCGCCCGTGATGTGTGTTCTGTCGGGCATTGCCATATCCCATCTGCTGGCCAAGTACATCAAGAGTGTGGACGCAGGTGGCACAAAGCTGGCAGCAGAAAGCAAAAGACAGCACAAGAAACTGGAACAGCAAACTGGTGGCGTCAAGAGTGAGGTGGCCATTGGATTTGTTTCCATAATAACGTTGATGCTTATCGTCTATACGGTCCACTGTACATGGGTCACCTCTGAGGCCTACTCCTCGCCAAGCATTGTGCTCAGCGCGCGCTCGCACGACGGCGGCCGCATCATCTTTGACGACTTCCGCGAGGCTTATTACTGGCTGCAAATGAATACGCCTGAAGTGAGTAGGCTCAGTATGAAACAGAGAGAAAGATAGATTGCGCACTGATGATGAATACAATTGTTATATTCTTGATAGGAAGAGTATGAAACATAATGAGTACTAACAAAATGTTGCTGAATGTGCGGAATCAGTTTCTTAAATAGTTTATTTTCAAAATACTAATAATAATGTATTTCTTAGGAAGCGCGCATCATGTCCTGGTGGGATTACGGCTATCAAATAACAGCAATGGCGAATAGAACGATATTAGTTGACAACAACACCTGGAACAATACGCACATCTCTCGTGTGGGTCAGGCAATGGCCTCATCTGAAGAGAAGGCATATGAAATTATGCGTGAACTGGACGTTGACTATGTGCTTGTCATATTCGGTGGACTGACGGGTTACTCGTCCGACGATATCAACAAATTCCTATGGATGGTGCGTATTGGCGGCAGCACCGATCGTGGCGCGCATATCAAAGAGAAGGACTACTATGCGGCCAATGGCGAGTTCCGCGTCGATAAAGAGGGCTCCCCCACTCTGCTGAATTGCCTCATGTACAAGATGTGCTATTATCGGTTCGGGCAAATGTATACAGAGGGCGGCAAAGCGCAGGGATATGATCGCGTGCGCGCCGCTGAGATCGGCAACAAGGACTTTGAGCTGGATGTACTCGAAGAGGCTTATACAACTGAGCATTGGCTAGTGCGCATTTACAAAGTGAAGGACTTGCCAAATCGAGGTGTCTAAGCAGTTACGAGTGCTCTCTTGCTCACTGTCTCGCTCGCACACACTGTCCCTTTCCTTTTCTATGTCTCTCTAACATATTCGCATGCATTCTTCGATCGATAGACGTCTATTTAAAAACATTCTGTAATTTGTACATTCATTAAGCATAGCTTTAATTTTAGCTCACCGCTCTATTGTAATTCTATTATTATTATTATTATTATTTTTTATATGATAAATCTCATTTGAGCATTGATATTCTCCAATGCTTCTGCGTCTCTCTCCTAGTCATAGTTGAGAGACGCTTTAATGGACTTTAGAAAGCTTCGTTTGATGAATCGAATGCGCAGCAACGCGAACATATTCCTAGGGCATAAGCAAGCACACTGATCGAAAATATATATATGGGAAAGTAAATCTCACGAAAAAAAAAACAAAATGTTGACTAATGTAGGGGAGAATTAAATAGGCTGCTTGAAAGGAGAACCGGAGACACTCAATGCCAATAAATAAATGCATAAGTCGTTTCAACATTTCTTTATTTGAGCTTTTACTTTAAAACACAGAGTGGTATGAGACTGGGGATGCAGTTAGAGCTTTAATATCCTCTAGCGCTTTTTCTGTATGAGGTCATAGGACGTTTGCGAGCTCTAATCGATGTGATGATCTTGTTCGATGTAGAGTCCTCCATTGGAAATATCGTTTTCGCTGAGTTCGGTGTCTTCCTGCCCATCGGCCAACTCCAGTTGGGCTATGAACTGATCGAGACCGTCCAAGGTCTCATAGACTTCACTGGGCACCTCTTGGATGGTAATCGACGAAAGAGGAGCTGCATCCAATGGGTGTGAATCGGACAACTGCAGTGGCTGGGTCTCCGACCTGTTGGCATTATATAGTTCGCGTAGCGTTGTTCGTGTCAGATTGAACTCTCGCATTCCGAATCCCATCCGTTGATTGGCATCCTCGGCAGCATGCCGACGCGCCGCTTTACGCACATCGTGTGCCTGCTGCTCGGCTATGGTGCGAACCACGGCTGAGCTGTGCTGTGATGACCAAGTGCTGGAGGCGGATTTGCGTGAGCGCTTTATGATTTGCCGACACTTATTGGTGATGCCGCCAACGATCTCGGAGACGAGTGCGATCGCGCCCATTAAGTAGCCAATGCCCATCAGCAGAAACATGCCCTCCGTGTCAGCGGTGGTCAACTGACGCTCCTCCTGTATGATTTCTCGCAGCGATGAGGTGGTGCTCGCCTGTAAGAGGCGACCCGTGGCAGACCTCTGCATAGCCCAGCTGACCTCATGACCCAGCTTGATCATTAGTCCACTCTCCTGTGCCATCATTATCATCGAGTCAATCTTCCGCTTGTACACCGAGTTCCGTGGAAAGAGGAATCCAATTTGAAAGAGTGCAAAGCATTCTTCACTCAGATGCAATGCCGAACGTCGCGAGAGGTTACTGACAAATAAAATGCAAAGTGGTTAGGCTATCAGAGTATCGATTTTTGCGTACCCTATAGCTAGATTAAAGGGGTATATTGATTTATAGATATACAAACATATATGTACATATGTATGTATATGGTTTATATCAGGTACTGTTTGCATTTGACTTTTTTTACTATTTTTGTGTTGCTTCACAAATTCTAGAGACATGTTATATAATACACTTTTCCTATGATATTTAGACTCAATCACGAAAATTAAATGAGTATATTGGTTTTGCTGTCCGTCCGTCTGTCCGTCTATCCGTATGAACGCAATCTATTTCGGCGCTATTGAAGCTAGAGACTTGAAATTTGGAACACATACTCGTGTATATTTCCAATTTATAAAGTGTTAAAATTTTCCCGATCCGCCCATAGGGGCGTGGCAAATCGGAAAATGTATTTTCCGATATACCAGAAATCATGTTTGTTGAAGAGCTAGAAAGCTGAAGTTTGGTATGTAGGTCCGCGTCGACCACCCAAGATCACGAGCTATGGCGGATATATCTCCGCTAAAGTTATAAACCTAGAATGTTGAAACTTTGCACGTAAGCTGATGTTTTATTTCTATAAAGATCATATATCTACGCCTACTAGGGGCGTGGCAAATCGGACCTGAAGATGTAGTGATTTTTCGAATTCTGCTATATTTTAGGCACTATTGATGCTAGAGATTTTGGGTTGACCACCCAAGTCCAACGAGTTATGGTAGATATATGTATGTCCGCCCATAGGGGGCGTGGCAAACCGCAAAAGTTTATATCTCGTACAGTTTAAGAGCTAGAAGCTTTAAATTTAAATAGTTGAGTTACTGGTAGCCTCCTCTATCGATGCCCCAAAAATAATTTCTACGCCTCTTTAGGGGCGTGGCATACCGAAAAATACCCTGTAATTTTCACATTTTTTGAGCGTAAGAATTCAAATTCAAATCATTTAGGTCACCGGTTGCTCGTTCTAAGAACTGCCCAAAAATGAGGAGTCCACGACCACTAGGTGCGTGGCAATCGGCATTTATAGTGCCCATATTGTGGCATTTATATTATATATTTGTTCACATAAATTGGCTTAATAGGCATTGATAACACGGAAGGAAACATTTTTATAAAATTAATAAAATATAAAAAAGCTAATATAACAAAAATTTGCAATTTACAAAACGAGTTTTCTGCGGGATTTGAACTCGCACCCAAGCTGAAAAGCTTGTTCATGTCCAAATATCTAAAATAACAAGTAAGAAAGCTCTAGTCGAGACTACTCGACTACGAGATCCCCTGAACCCTTGGAG